GCTGGGTTATATTTAACCCAGCATTTTTTAGAGTGTATATATATAGTTAGAATATATTAACATTTAATATGATTTAGGTATATAATCTATGTTTTACGTATAGTTCCAAACACACAACAGCTATCAGAAAGTAGGCTAAAAGTGATGGGGGCCTTTAAACCGGAAAAGCGAGTCGTTGCACCTGCAAAAAAGCTTTTACTTTGCACCGCGTTAATTTCTAATGCCTAAAATTGTGGCGACACTTTGTCTGCGATATTTTTTTTTCTTTTTTTTTCGTCTTGCAAGGAGAAAAAAAAAACAGATAAACGTTTTTCTAATTTTAAGGAGTCGAATTTAAAGCATATCATGATGTTATAACGTGTATGCGCCTCAAGTCTCATTTTCATGTTTTCTTCTTATCGTTAGACCCAACCCCTCAATTTTTTGCTTTATTCAAGATTCAAGAGTTGTATTGTCATATGTACAGGAAACACTCGTTACACTATACAATGAAATTCTTACTCTGAGAATCCTCTATCAGCCTGGACATCAAAATGACAAAAACCACGAGTACTTAATACCAAAGTTACACAATTATAAAAGTACTCTATAGTGCAGTGTGTGCATATATAAGTGTGAATGTGCGGTGTAGACATATAAACAGTCTATGTAAACATGTAAGCATAGAGTACATGTACATTTATACATTATATATAAAGTGTTATAGATTATATACAGTATATATAGGTGTTATATATATATAATACATATATATTGTTTCATAGAGGTAAAACACTATTTACAGTTCAGATAACCTATAAAGATAAATAACTATACTTTCATAAACAGGCAAAGGAATACAATCGAAGTACTTACTGTAGACAGCAAAAATACAAATTTTTATTTTTTTTTTTTACCTTGTCAGCAGACATCCCACGGTGCTGAGGTAAATGAAACCGTGCAGTTGTGGAGAATTTATAAGCTATACTCAGAATTTAGGTTTCAGTTTCTCGAAAAGGGTGGAGGCTGAAGTTGTCACAGTTGGGTAAACGTCTATAGTGGTGTAGCCTACGTTCCATTTGCTCAAATAGCAAAATTAGAAAATAATGATAAAATTTCTATGACTTTCCAAAAGAGGAAAAAAAAACATCAACAGAATGATCACGGCTGCGTTTCTCAAAGCATCGTAAGTCTAAGCAGATCGTAGACCTATTGCCACCAATGGTCTCTACCATCAATTTAGCTTACGATGCTTTTGAGAAACGCAGCACACATTGGTCATAAGAGAGAAATTTGCAAGAGAAATATGTCAAATATGCAGTCACTCACCATTGTATTAGAAACATTCTCGCAGCAGCATAGGTAAGAAACAAATCCAAGAAAACAAACTATAGTATGTACACTAAAAATAAAGAAGTGACTAGGCAATTAAGTAGAATAAATGAATGAATAAATAAATAAATAAAACATTTTCAAATGGCAAGATTTAAGATGTTAATAACTGGAAACACGTCATTACAATCTGTGATAAGAATCCACTGAAGTTGAGTTGAGACCATGCTTTAAACCAGCAGTATATTATATTAATATATTTATTTAATAAAACCATTTTTGTGAAAGCTTTTATTTTAATAACTACACTAAGAAATCAAATACTTGTACAAAATTCCTTTGAATGACAAAAGCATTTATGTCACGTCTCATATTGCAAAAAGAGTCTTTGACTCATCTCTCAGATTTCTTTGGAAATAAACTAAAATGTCTTTATTGTCATTCTCAGACTCCATAGCTCCATTTCAGTTTAAACAGAGAAAGAACAATGCTGTGTCTAAATGTCCTTGGACAGCCTTCATAGGTTGTCTAAGGTAGGCCCGGCTTTGAGTCCGCAGCACAATTTGACGCGCATAGAAATCCCGATAATCAGGTGGCAGCTCTTCCAAGATGCCTAAAGTCCTCTCCAGAGACTGCAGGGCTCGAGTGGCTGCTACTGGGTCTTTGTTTCCATATGGATCTTTCTTATCATAACTCTCAGGTGGCAGATGCCTCCAGAACACGTTGACACCAACTCCAAACTGGAGAGCCAGAGTATTGTGAAACCAAAGAGCTGAGGAAATACAAATAAAAGTAGTATTTTTCTGAGTGCAATTCAGCACTACTTCAGGATTTGAGCACACTTAGATGTATGTGTGGTTCACAATGTTAAAAATAGAATTCTATAATTGTGCTGTGATTATGTATAACTTGTTGGTCTGGTTTAAGAATAGAATACCTGGAATGAAGAGCAGGTCTCCTGGTTCCAGAATACACTCGTAGCGACTTGCTTTCACAAACTCAGGATAAAGCTGCAGATCAGGAGTGTCAATGTCCAGAACTTCAGACTTGTCCCCTAAAAAAATCATTTTGTCACAATTTAAATTACAGTGAATTAACAAACTAACATTTAGTTCAAACTTTATCACACACTTTGTTTACTATTATGTATGTATTATGTATATACAGGTGCATCTCAATAAATTAGAATGTTGTGGAAAAGTTCATTTATTTCAGTAATTCAACTCAAATTGTGAAACTCGTGTATTAAATAAATTCAATGCACACAGACTGAAGTAGTTTAAGTCTTTGGTTCTTTTAATTGTGATGATTTTGGCTCACATAGTCACATAGTGGGGGGGTTAAAAACTGTAAGGATAGAGGCTTGAAAGATACAATTTTTTTTGTTCACAGACTGAAGTAGTTTAAGTCTTTGGTTCTTTTAATTGTGATGATTTTGGCTCACAGTCACATAGTGGGGGGGTTAAAAACTGTAAGGATAGAGGCTTGAAAGATACAATTTTTTTTGTCTTAAGCCATAATTATGTCCAAACGTATATGTATTAATTTAGCATAAATGGCACAAAATATTTGTCAAATAGAATATTAGAATCAAAACTTACTTTTTAAGGTAACTAACCTCACTGATGAAGAAATCTGAGTGCTTTGCCTCTGCAGCTCTCTGAATAAACTTGTCAAATGGCAGTGTCCTGAAATACAAAAGTATGTTATTCTTCCACAGTTTTGTGTTGTGCTCCGGTATAAAGGATTCATGTAAAACCACACACACCTGTACACAAAGTTCTTATGCAGAAAGTCCATCCTGGGCTCTGGGGACACATGCACTTTGACCTCGCGGTCTCCGCCCCTCTGCGCGAGATAACTCACTGTCCACGCGCGCGCACACGGCCCCACTGGGGCTTTAGACCGTTGGTCTACGCTAAATAAAACACGTGTCATTCATTTGTCCAGCACACCACAATAAATGGCTGTTTAATATATATTACACGAGTTACCAGTGGATATATGTCCCTCAAGAAAGTCTCTCTGTCCACATCGGTGTAGACGGGCACCTCCAGCTTTTCCGGACAATCTGAACTTAAATTTACTCTCCATTCGCTGCCATCTGCACCACTCCGCCTTCCGCTAGGAAATTCGACTCGTTTTGGTGAGTCGATTCTTTTAAACTGTTTGTTTTAAAGAACCGAATTAAAAGCCGAGTCTCTGAATGCTCTGAACTAAATCATCCAAGTAACGCCATGTAGACATATTGTTGTTTATTACGTTTTAAGAAGTTTGTTTAAATCATGATTTAAATGAGTAACGTTAGGTGAGTTGTTGACCCGAGAACTCCTCAGACTAATTCAGTCAATTGATTCATTTAAGTGAACCGACTCATTCGTGAACAAATTGGACATAGCTACTAGACATGTCTTTAACGTATTCTGTTCACATCAACACACATAGTATACATTTAATTAAGAATTTAAATAAAGGATAAGTCTGCTTTGTCAGAAAAATGCTGATATAGTGTAACATCTGTTATATAAATGTCCATATGTGGAACTTGTCTCTTTAGTATGTTGTCAGTCGGATTTCCATAACAGATGGGCCACTGAGGATGATGGGAGAAAGATGGCGCTACCCGTACTGAGGTGCTGCAGCTGTAACAGGCCCGTTTCGATTCTGATTCGGTACTTTATATCTAAGTCATTTTTAGCGAATCAGTCCAGACGACTCGCCCCCGTGGCGTCTGCAGTGTGTGATGTGCGTCAGTACAGCTCTGAGCGGGGGAGACACGAGCAGAACCAAAAGGTTGTGGTTGTTGGCGTCCCGAACCCCTTCATCTGGTTCCGAACCCGCATCTACTTCTTTCTCATCCGAGCTTACTTCGACAAAGAGTTTAGCATTGAGGAGTTCACGGAAGGAGCCAAACAGGTGAATGCCAATACCTGACAAAGCGTTATGTGATAGAAAATAAATAATGTCAGTTATGACAGTGCCTGTGCTATAATAGTTATGGACAAATTTTAATGTCTTAATTTTTAAGCTAAAAAGAACAGTGTTTATTTAAAATAGAAATATTTTCTAACAATATTTTTGAAAAGTCTTTATCACTTTTTATCAATTTAACACAGCCTTGCTGAATAAAAGCATTAATTTCTTTCAAACAAAAAAAGTTACTGACCCCAAACTTTTGAACAGTAGTGTATATTGTTACAAAAGATTTATTCGTTATATTCATCAAAGAATCCTGAAAAAAGTATCACAGGTTTAAAAAAAAAAAAAAAAACATTAAGCAGCAAAGCTGTTTCCACTATTGATATTAAATCATCATAATATAATGATTTCTGAAGGATCATGTGACACTAAAGACTGGAGTAATGATGCTGAAAATTCAGCTTTGATCACAAGAATAAATTATATTTTAAAGTATACTAAAATAGAAAACCATTTTTAAATTGTAATAATATTTCACAATACATTGAGGAGTTCACGGAAGGAGCCAAACAGGTGAATGCCAATACCTGACAAAGCGTTATGTGATAGAAAATAAATAATGTCAGTTATGACAGTGCCTGTGCTATAATAGTTATGGACAAATTTTAATGTCTTAATTTTTAAGCTAAAAAGAACAGTGTTTATTTAAAATAGAAATATTTTCTAACAATATTTTTGAAAAGTCTTTATCACTTTTTATCAATTTAACACAGCCTTGCTGAATAAAAGCATTAATTTCTTTCAAACAAAAAAAGTTACTGACCCCAAACTTTTGAACAGTAGTGTATATTGTTACAAAAGATTTATTCGTTATATTCATCAAAGAATCCTGAAAAAAGTATCACAGGTTTAAAAAAAAAAAAAAAAACATTAAGCAGCAAAGCTGTTTCCACTATTGATATTAAATCATCATAATATAATGATTTCTGAAGGATCATGTGACACTAAAGACTGGAGTAATGATGCTGAAAATTCAGCTTTGATCACAAGAATAAATTATATTTTAAAGTATACTAAAATAGAAAACCATTTTTAAATTGTAATAATATTTCACAATATTACTGTTTTTTCTGTATTTCTGATCAAATAAATGCAGCCACAATGAGCAGAAGAGACTTCTTTAAAAAAAACATAAAAAATCTTATTGATCCCAAACTTTTGAACGGCAGAGTAGGTAAACAAAATCACATTTATTTATTTATTTTATTTTATTTTTTATTGGCTTATAATCAAAATTTTAATATGCTTACTTTTGGTTGTATATGTGAACTGTGTACAATAGAGTCTAGGATTTAAAAATGTTTTAGTGTAGACCTGTATTAAAGGGGTCATATGATGCTTTTTTAAAGATCATTATTTTCCACGCCTTCTTTCTTTGCGTGCACATTTGGGCTCATTACGCAAATATTTCCACATAGTGATGTAGATATGTGGGGGTGTGTTAGAACGAGCCATTTTAGGGGGGCGTGGCAGAGTCTTAACTTTGATAAAGAATATCTCTTTGGTTTTGAGACTTTAGTCTTTGCAACTTCAGGGATCTTATCTATGCACAATCAGCTTGTAACACTCCAAAGAGAAAGGAAAACTTGAAATCGCATCATATGACCCCTTTAACAAGCAAAGAGACCAGATAAACTTTGTTAACCGGCCAAAACTAACCAATGCAGTTTTGAGTTACATGGTAACCCAGATAATAAGCAGAGTGCTTAAACTTCTCCTTTTACTCTCAGGCTTTCTCGCACGTATCAAGATTGCTGTCTCAGTGTCAGTTTGAGGCTCTTGAGGGATTAGTAGCTAAAGATGTAAGTACATGACGATACCAATAACTTTAATATTTACCTGTTTAAGAATATTGATTTCGTTTAGAGTAATTAATCTAACATTCCCTCCCATAGCTAATAGGGAAACTTGAGGAAAAATGCGCTCAATTGCCTTTGAGCCACCAGAGGGCGCTGTCAGCTGAGTCCGATGAGATCATGTACACAACAACAGGAGATGTGGGCATTTACTATGATGATAGCGGTGAGACCCTATATGCTTCATACCACGCAATATTCGCCCAGGTAATATGCTTAATTATTGTTTGTGGGCGTGTAATTTAGGAAATATAAGCTTTGTAACTTGCATTCAGCAAATCCTATTTATCAGACTGTTTCTTATATGCCAGCCAAGTTGAATTCATTCAGTAGGTTACTATTTCAAAAAATAATTTTGTGTAACATAGAGCATAAATGAATATGTATGACAAAAATAATTGCAAAAAAATTTTTCTTTTTTTTTAGGGAGGAAATATGTAAGTATTTTGATGCGTTTTTGGTACTTGACGAGTGCCAGACTTCCAGATGAGAGTATGGAGGGAGCGAGAATATTCCAGGTTGTCATTGGTGGGGAAGGAGAGAGACCAGAGACCAAGAGATTGTTGACAGCCAATTATGAGTGAGTATTGTGATTACTCTCTTCATTGTCCGTGTGTTGAGTCTCATAGTGTAATGGATTGCAAGGCTCTTGTATTTGTATTACAGTTTAACTTAACTATACTTCTTAGGAGTAGTAGAAAACTACTATTTTAATACTTTGAGTTGTTATAACTGTACTAAATTATAACATAAACATCAGTATAACATTTATGTCTGTCATTTATGTTTTCCTTTTTTGACAGATTCCAAAGGGAGTTTACCCAAGGCGTGATTCCAGATTGGATCATCACAAGAATAGAGCACTCAAAACTTCTTGACTAAGTGTGTTTAACTTGCAGAGGAGAGATGTATTTTTCATGCTTTTTTTTTTGTTTAATATTGCTCAACATGCCAAAACATGTAGGCAAGATTCACTGGAAAAAATAATGCTGCAATATTGTCAGCTCCAGGTACTTTCCATGGGCAATAGAAAGTTATAAATGTTGACTTCCTGTGTGCTTCCGTGTATTGCTGATCTCACATTAATAACTTTTACATTAATATGTTTGTAATTTATGGTTGGCTCCTGATTGATCAGTTTGGTCTTTTAAAAAAAAGGTGCTGTTGTTTTTTTAAACTTTGTGTGATGAGTTTTGGGGTCAGGTTGACTGCACATTGCACAAACTGTGCAACTGAACTGTAAAACTATACAAGAAAAAAGCAATCCTTTAGTATTGAAGACATACAGACTGCTGCCTGGATACTTTGAAAGACAGGTTCATACAGAATGATGAACTGACCAGTAAGCTCTGTAACGGTTTTATCAAAAATTCCATGTTATGTAAAATATTTTAGTGCAAAAAAAACAACAACAACAACATGAATAAAATGTGATAGAAAACCAACTAACATGATTTTTAATGTCACCATGTTTTAATGTTTCCATATTCATATTGAGGCACACAATGGGGATATGAAAGTGTACTGCATAATATGAATTCCTCATTAATATTATGTACGTTCCCTTGCTTTAAACTTAAGCTTTCAAGATGACACGACGGACCATGGATTTCTCCTCTATTTACGCCTTCCAACGTTTTAAATATTGCAGAATTATTCCACGACGATTCCACACTCTGTTCTTTTGCAATCCCTCCCACTGTCAATTTTGATTGGCCAAACCCAGAACCTATTCTCCCTCTCCATTGGCTACTCTCCTGTCTGCGTCGTGACATCTTCCCATTGGCTGCGTGACAGGTCCGTAGGAGGTTTCCTATTGGTTTAAACAGGCAGTGTGGGTTTACAATAAGCAAAGCGGAGACACGATTACAATGAATATTTGTGAATAAAATCAAGCTTATCTTGTAGAGACATGAGACTCGCTGGATACGCGTTTTACGGCTTTGCTATTGGGCTTTTGCTTGTGGGTTTGCGGGATTTATTGTTTGGTTTCGGGGAGAACCGATGCAGCATGACATACATGTTCGAGTACCCAGAATACCGAGTAAGTTTCACTGCAAACACAGTCTGTATCACTGTTGCTTTCTTCACACGTTTGGTTTGCAATTAGCAAAATGCACCATTTCTTGTAATTAGAGCAACATCACTAGCTCACAAATCAGTTCCTCATGCCCGTCATTCTACCTGTTGTTTTGGCAACAACAAACAGAACTAATCCGCAACATCTGTCATTATACATTATTTCGATGGGCAAAACCCCCTCGCTTCCTTCACACTTATATTTTTTAAATATTTTTATTGTAAGGTATTCATGGTACTAGAATATCCACCTCAAAAGTATGCATCATTTATTTCTATCTAAAATATAACGAATATTAGGGGAAAATAAGTCGTAATTTTGTTACTGATGTTAAAAATAGGGTTATTTAAAAACCAATTAATGAACGGCTGAAGAAAATCATAAGTAATACCATGGTAGCATGTATAACTTATAAGAGAACGTCTTAAAATAAAGCTCTACCTGCCACGCATTCAACCCTGAATGACTTGAACATGCATTTAAAGTTTCGCTTGTTTCAGGAATACTGTTTTACTACTTGATTTGCATTTTGTCCTGCATTTTCCTCTGCGCATGAATGTTTAGTCTTGTATGTTTATGTGCTTGCACAGCGCGTGCAGCTTCCGAGGCGTGTCGCGCGCCAGTACCCATCATACGGGCTGTATCTGTATGGAGAGGGCGCATATGCTCAGGAGAACAGAGGACTCGAGCTCACCGGCGCACCTGTGCTCTTCTTGCCTGGGAACGCGGGCAGCTACAAGCAAGGTGAGATGGAACTGGGTTTTCTTCAGTGTTTCAGTCAACATATCTTATGCATATGTAATTTGAGTAGCTTGGTTTTGTTTATTTTCCCTTCAAGGTGGTTTTAGACTGTTAGGTGGTTTGTTTGCTCAATCAATCTTGATCCTCCTACTGAGTTTTTCCCAGTACTTATGAAATATTCTGATTGTTCATTACAAATAGAGCAAGACAGAGGTGAGAGCTCACACAGAGATGTCGTTCTACTCTCTCTTGCAGCTTGTTCTCTGGGTTCAGTGGCTTTAAGGAAGGCTGAGAACCTGGACAGACGAATCCATATGAACGTGTTCACCATTGACTTCAACGAGGAGTTGGTGGCCCTGTATGGTGGCAGTTTGCGCAGACAGACTCAATTTCTATATGAAAGCATCAAAGTCATCTTGCGCCTTTACGAGGTCAGAGGTCAAGGGCATCTTTTTTCCCTTTCCATCCTTTTTGTCCTTTTCATTTCTTCCCTTCCCTTTCCATCCTTTTCTGTCCCTTTGCTACAGATCACAAATTACAGTTATCTAGACTGTTGTTCATAGTATACACGCTTGATCATGATCATATAGACAAGTATTAGTTTTGAGCAGAGGTGTAAAGTATTGGAGTAAATGTAATTTTTTACTCTTTACTTCACTACATTTTTTAATGAGTATCTGTACTCTTTACTCCACTACATTTGAAATGAGTGTTGCAGTTACACATTACATTTTGCATGGACCTAGCTTTTTCTGCAGCAGTTTATTTCTGCTACAAAAGACGTGATACTGCCTATTACAGGTCACTGAAAGTACTGCATCTTGTGTGTTTTGCCCTTACTCTCCCAAACTTTTCAACAAGGCTATGTGAATGTGAGTTCCTTGGCAAGTATTTGTGAATCACAAGTGTTTTATATATGAGATGAGGACATGACTGCAGCTGGCAATGAGGCCGAAACCTGCACATGCACTGCAAGAAGGCTTCGGTAAATGTGATTGCTCTCCTCACAAATCAACTCTTTCTAGTTTTTGTTTCATGCTCTCTGTGCCTTGCCCTGGACTTTTGTCACTTCCAGTCTCCCGTGGTGTTTGCAGTCAGTTTGTAGTCTTTGTTCATTGGTTCCCCTTGATTAGTCTCCCCAGGTGTGACTTATCTTAAGATGTTAGCCCCCTGTGTGTATATATATATATAGCCCTAGTTTTTCTTTAGTTCCCTGTGAGTTGTTGAATGTAATGGTTGTCTGTTTGCCAGTCATTCTGTTCTTTGTTCCCTTTGGTTTTTGGCTTATTGTTTGTTCTAGTTTTTCCATTAAATGCCTGCACATAGATGCTTGCCTCTGCCTTTTCCCCCAGCTTCTCCACAACATTACAGTTTTTCACTGGCATGTTTCTTTAACTAGTGCATCTTTGAGCCTATATTTAGTATAAGTAAAATACTTAAGTACTGTTAAAATCAGATACTCTTAAGACTTTTACTCAAGTTATTTTGGAATTGGTGACTTGTAACATGTAGTGGAGTAATTTTCACTGTAAGGTATCTGTACTTTTACTCAAGTATGGTTTTTAGGTACTCTTTACACCTCTGGTTTTGAGTTGATAGTCTGCAGATTTTGGGCAGTCAGAGTTGACAGATATTACAGAGCATTCTTCAATATTTCAGTCAGCTCATCTTACACATACATACGTGATATTAATAAGTTGGTCTTGTTTACTTTCCCTTCAAGGTGGGTTTTGACAGTTGGGTGACAAAAAAAAAAAAACGGTCTGTTTGCTTAATCTTGATCCTCCAGCTGACTTACTCCACGACTAATGAAACTTTCTGATTATTCATTGCAAGCGGAGAAAGAGAGATTGTGAGAGCTCATTGCAACACACAGACAATGCAGAAAATCTGTTGCTTTAACAGAAGATTATTGCGCTAACAATGCCTACGTTTTATACTTTGAGCCGATTTTAGAACACATCTTGTTCTTATTTGTCATGCGTCTCCTAGCAACAAGGCACATGTTTCTGCGTGTGTTGTTTAGTAGTGTTTGATTTTCAGCTTATAATAATGATGTATGATGCCATTTTTTTTGTAAACATTCACAAAGTTCAGCAAGTGTATAAAATCTTTTCAGATTTTAAAAGTCATATAGTGTATTCCAGCCTTTAGTGACTTCATTATTGAACCTCATTGCCATTTGTAGATCAACTACATCCAAACCAATGATCTTTTTACTACATTCCCATGGCTGCAGGACCGTCCAGACCCTCCCACAGGTGTGGCTCTGGTGGGTCACTCCATGGGTGGAGTGGTGGCAAGAGCTTTGTTCGCCCTGGCATGTTTCAACCCACGCCTGGTCAGCTTCATCATCACCCAGGCCTCCCCCCACCAGGCACCTGTCCTGTCTCTGGACCCTTATATACTGGGTAGGAAAGAAACCTACAGACATACATAAATATGTACAGATGATTTGTTTGAGAGTTTTGAAGGTACACTACAGTTCAAAATATTGTTTTTTTGTTTATTTTGAAAGAAATTAGTTAGATTTTTTTATTCAGCAAGGACGCATTAAATTGATTAAATGTAACAGTAAAGACAATTATAATGTTACAAAAAAATTCAATTTCAAATAATTGCTGAACTTTCAATTCCTCAAAAGAATTCTGAAAAAATATGTATTACCGTTTCCACAAAAATATTAACTATTAACTAACTATTTTTAACACTGGTAATAAGAAACCAGCATATTACAATGATTTTTGAAGAATCATGTGACATTGAAGATGAGAGTAATGGCTGCTGAAAATTTAGCTTTAAATTGAAAAACATTTATGGTGAATTGTAATAATTTCACAGTATTACTATTTTTACTGTATTTTTACTCGCATGCATACATGCAGCTATGGTGAGCATAAGAGGCTTCTTTCAAAAACATAAAAAAAATTCTGCTGCTATATTATACTTATTATACTTATAATATTATACTTTCTCAGACAAAAAGTTTGATTGCAAACGTACAGTTTTTTGGTGTGCTAACATCTGAATTGTGTGTCTGTGGTAGAGTTTTACTCTAGAGTCAGACATCGCTGGGCCACAAGTGCTGAAGACCTTCGAAATGTAACCGTTCTCTCTGTGGGTGGTGGTTACCTTGACTTCCAGGTGCGCTCTGGTTTGACGGCGCTGTCCTGTCCCATCGATGACCTCAATAAGATGTCAGTAGTGGTAGGTCTACTAGCTATTAAAGTTACAGGTTGAAATATTTAACCAAAGAGAATTTTTTCAAGTAGAACCTGATTTGTTTTTAATGTCCATACATTGATACATCAGTGTTTTCTGAATTGGTTTAAGGCAACTGCAGTTCCCCGAAGCTGGGTTTCCACAGATCATATTTCCATTGTTTGGTATGTTTTTGCATCCTAACATTGTTTCATCAAAATGGAGAGAGAAATAAAACTGATAGCTAATTATTTTGCTTTTAAGCTGCTTAACTTCATAATGGCTAATGAATTTCATCCTTTATAATGTGAATTCCTTTATACTTGAAGGTGCAAGGAGCTGGTTCTGGCCACAGTCCGGGTGTTCTTCGACCTTATTGAACCTGAAACCGGGCAGGTGAGTCATGTCCTAATACAGTGATAGTGTGTGTTTAAGGTGTTTTTATTGACTCATGTTTCTCTTTAGTTCACAGAGAGTCCTGAGAAGCGGATGTCAGTGCTGAACTATCACTTCTTTAGACATCCAGTGCTAAAACCTGGAGGAGCACAGGATGACCCTGTCACTTTCTCAGGTCTGTGTTTGTGTGCACATGTATATTTATAGGC